TGATCATAATCGAATATTGGACTTTGAATTTTACCATTATAGAATTTAATACATACATTTATCTTGAATAAATATGAAACACAGGAATGAATTCTGAAAATCAGAATCTAAGGCTCTGAATCTTTGTCTAAGAAATTTAGTTGGGGGGGGGCTCCAGGAACAGCATGGCTCAGTCAATAACATGCCTGCCACACAAGCATGAAGTCAAGAGCTGGAGTTCAGAGCACACATGTAAAACAGAGGAGCAGCACTGCTCTGTAGTATTGAAGAGGTCAGCTTAGAGCCTTTAAAAAATTGCACCAGGCCCCTTCCCTTCCCAGAAGAAAGAAGTCCTTAGAGCATGTAGGCATCCCTTACGGCCTGGAAGAGAGAGGTCATAGAACATGTAGATATCTCTTCCTTCTGGAAGGGAGAGGCTGAATTACATTCCTCAGGAAAACTACAGGGTGGGGGTTGGGAGGGGAGGCATTAACCACCTGCAAACAAGGGAAGCCCCAGAACATGTAGATACAGTCCTCAGGGTGGACCAATCAGTTTAAAAGTCACACTGTTCTGCCAATCACATTGTGCCTAGTGACTTTTGCTATATTCTTCCCCTGAAAACTGTATGAAAACTGGTCGAACAGGCTGCTCAAGGTCATTGCCTCTCCTTTTGGATACTGGAACAATAAACTCCTTTTGCTTTTTCCTTGATCTCCAGCTCTGTGTGGTTCACTCAGGGGGTCCCCTGTAGCTAAGGCTCACCTGAGTCTTACATTTTGAGCATTGGCCAGGAATTAAACCCTGTGGGGATACACCAGAGAGCAGTGATTGGAGGAGAAGCTCAAGCAGGTACCATGGATTTCTTTGTCTGTCTCCCTGTTTCTTGTAGTCTCTGTAAGCCTGTCTGAACTTTCAGTTTGCTTGCTAGCCTCTGGGAACTCAGAGATCCCATGATGTTTGGGGTGATCAAGAGTGACAGGAAGATGTACCTTAACATTGCAACTGTGGGGAGCCTGAAGGATGCTTCAAGTCCCCTGGAGGAAATCCGGAGTATTTCTCTCTATTAGACCCAGCCCCATTGTAAGCCAGCCAAGTCACCTGGTTACTAGATTCTTCCACCTGTGATAGGGGCAGATTTTCTACATCTTGATAGTCTCTCTGTGTGTTATGTCTTGACCCACCTGAGGCAGGGATTCCTGGTTTGTCTGGTGTTTGTCTTGCTGTTTGGTATTTGTCTTGTTTGTTTTTGGACTGGGACTGATGAAATTTTTGTACATGGGACAAAAAGTTTCCGCTATACCTTTGAGCCTGACTTTGAACCACTGAGATGTAGTCCAAGGGTAAATACATACTTTGTCAGTCATGGTAACATAGATGTTTGGAACAAACTCATGACTGACCCTCCCTCTTGGATTCAGCCTTTTTTTCCTAGCAAGGTCCTGGCACTCAAGACACAGCCTGAGCCACCCACAGGCCCCAAACAGAAGAAGGAAGTCCTCCAAGATTCAGGGATGTACTAACTTTCTAGAATCTGTTCTTTCCACCTGCCAGCTCACTTGAGATGACTGTCACAGCTCCTACAGGTTCTTTTCAGGAAGAGAAAGAGTGCATTCTCCTGGAGGCTAAGAAAAATGTCCCCTCAGATACATTGGCACCATTGACTTGACCAGGCTATCATCAACAGCAGGATTCTTCTGACTAGACCTGACTGGGACTTTACTATGGCAGAAGGTAAGGGGTACCTGAAAGTCTACCACAGTCTCAAGGGGGCCGCATGATGACCCACCAATTTGACCAAGGTATATGAGGTTAAGCAGAAACCGGACAAGTTATCTACAGACTTTCTAGAGTTACTCATAGAGACATTCTGTAACTATACACCCTTTGACCCCAGCAGGGAGGAGCACAAGGTACTGTGACTATGGCCTTTATAGACCAGGCTAGTAGAGATATCAGGAAAAAGCTTCAGAGGCAAGAGAGACTACAGGATAAGTTGTTACAAGATTTAATGCAGGTTGCTGAGAAAGTCTGCCATAACAGGGAGACAGAGGAGGAGAAAGAGCAGAGAAGAAAAAATGATAAAACAGAGATTCAAGGCAGTGTACCATATAGACCATGACATGTTTCAAGGCACAGGCCAAGAAGATTTTGTACTTTTCCACCACCTGGACCCTCTTACCCCCTCCCCTTGTAAAACATGCTATAAAAAAAAAGCATTTCATGTTCAAAAAAAAAAAAGAAATTAAAAAAAAATTCCAAAAAAAAAAAAAAAAGAAATTCATCAAAGACAATGAAATGATGCTGTAATGGTAAAAAAATATGTTAATTTGATTATACAACACAATTTTATACTTGTGTTGATATGATATAATTGCCATAGAATACAGATACAGTAATCAAAATAAAGATGTTTAAAGATATGGAAAAAAAAAAAAAAGGTGACGGGAAAGAAATTTACAGAAAATCTTGGCTACAGTAGTTACAGAAAGCAGAGAAGAGAGACTCTAATCAATGAGAGACAGAAAACCCCTTGAAAAGGACCAGTGTGCATATTGCAAGGAGAGGGGCAACTGGGCCTAAGAGTGCCCCCAACAAAAGAAATGGGGAGAAAAGCTCCAAGACTGGGAAAAAAACGCTCCCAGATCCAAAAAGTGTTAGCCCTGGATGAAGAAACCAACATAAAGGTGGAAAGGGGAAGGAGCACCACCCAGTCAGCATGTTGCTTCCTCTCTCCTCCTCCTCTTTTCTTCCCCCCTTTCCTCCCAACTCCTCACTCCACCTATCTCTTCTACTGCCCAATTGCCAAGCTCCACTCCAAATATAATGTGACAGGAAAATATCCTGCTACAAAGGTATATATAATAGACCTCAGGAATTTAGCCAGAGATACAGTAGAACAATGTAAGGTATGCCAGCAAATGAATGCTTATGCAGCCAAGAGTAAACAGGGTAAAACACCTAGGAGAGAACAGCTAGGAGTATATCAAGAGGCCAATTTTATAGAAGTTAAGCCAGGAAAATATGGTTACTCTCTAGTGTTGGTAGATACTTTCTCTAGATAGGTTGAGGCTTTCCTTACCAAGCAGGAAACAGCTAACATGGTAGCCAAGGAGATATTAGAAAAACTCTTCCCCAGGTTTTGAGTGCCCAAGGTAATTGGATCAAATAGTGGTCCTGCTTTTGTTTCTAAGGTAAGTCAGGGATTGGCAGAGATATTGGGGGCTAATGGAAGCTCCATTATGTGTACCATCCTCAAAGCTCAGGATAGGTAGAGAGAATGAACAGAACCCTATAAAGAGACCTTAACTAAAGTGTCTTTGGAAACTGGTGCTTATTGGGTGGTGTCCCTTCCCTTGGCCCTGTTCCAAGGCTGGAATACCCCTCCTGTGTGGGACTCCCCTGACCCAGGCTTTTGACACCTCCAGAAGTGACTTTTCGGGCTGACAAGGATCTTATGACTCAATTGCAATCCTTCCAGATCAGTCACCAGGAATTGTGTCCTACACCTTAGTGCCCTTTATAACACAGGTACCCCAGAGGTACCACACAAGTACCAAGTTAGAGATTAGATACATGTTAAAATACATCAAGCTGAAGACTTAGAAACAAAGTGAAATGGGCTGTTCCTCATGTTGTTGACTACCCTGACCTCCATTAAAAGAGATAGATTAGCTACCTGGGTTCACATAACTCATGTCAGACCAGCACCTACACCTGATCCCAACTGGAGAGCAGCCAGACACCTGAGCAAGCCCCTCAAGCTCAAGATCACCTGCCCTTCTTCAAGGCCAGAGAAACCATTAGATGACTAAGGTGAAACTTCCTTCCAGCACTGAACCTCAGCACCTACCACAACCCTACCAAAGTGACTTGGCAAGTACTCTCAGCCACTGGGAATGTAACTTGGTCCATGACAGTGGAACACCAGCTTTATATCTAGAGGCTGGACCTTGTTTTTGACCTCTGTAAGTTACCAGCAGGCCTTGACTCCTGGGACATCCCCACCATAGAGACACAGGGACAGGGATTACCCAAATTGGGGGGATGAGGGACTTTCAAATCTAAACCGTGTGCTAGAAGTGGCCTTGGAGGGTGGGGCTTAGGGTATGGACACCCAATGCTGAGGAATGTCCTGCGAGAAATGCCCATATATGTGTGCCCCTGAGATGGAAGAAGCTGACAGCAGGCTCATCATTGTGGCAGGGGGTGGGCAACCACTTTTTCTATGATTTGTGGGGGTGTGGAACATTGAGAAACATACTGGAGACCATTTGTAGGGTTAGTTAAAGATTCAATGGCAAAGGTACTGGACAGATGAGAGAGAGAGAGAGAGAGAGAGAGAGAGAGAGAGAGAGAGAGAGAGAACAAAGATGGGTTGAGTCTTGGTTTAACTACTTCCTTTGGTTTGCTACCTTGATTTCTACATTAAAACTCTCATCATCCACTGGCCTTAGAAAGAATTTACAGATGTAGATTGCTAGCAACGACCATCACCTTAGAAAGAATTTGGAGATGTAAATTATTGTTAAAGATAAGTTAAAATATTTTTGTCAGTGGATCTGGTATAGAATATCTTAGAAAACAATTTGAAGATCAGAAAGGCATACTCTTCATACTTAAGCTGGGGATTTTTTAAGGTCACGAAACAAAAATACTGGTAACCTACCTAGCACTTAATAATGTGACTCTTTTTGATGAAGCCAGATTGATGTTCAAGGTAATGATTAATTTCTTGTTTAGATTTGTGATTCTTTTGAGATTTTTATGAGGTTACTTTTTAAGATAAATACTAAGATAATTGACTCTTTGCAAATTGCAGCCTGCAATTAATGAGAAAATTACCTTGCTTGCTTACACTTTGCTAATCTATAGCAAGGTGCTTAGTTACAAATAAATGTATGTAGATTTTTGGGAATAATTGTATTCTTTTTCTTAATCTGTGATATGTAATATCTTTCATGTAAAGGTGTTCAGAGCATACTGAGGTATTTTTTAATAATCATTCACTAAAAGAAAAGTAGAATGTAGTCACATTTTAATTTCTGTGCTGCTTAAAAGATTTTTTAAGCTACATAAGCTGCAGGGGGAAAAATACAGTTGTTAGAGCTTGCTCATTGGAGCTTTGCCCATCTACCCAATGTGTGAATGTGTGTATGTATGTGTATGTGTGAAGTTGTTCAAGCTTGTTCTTTGGAGCCTTGCTTCATCCACCAAGTTTGGATATGTATATGTTCCCTCACCCTATTCACTGAGCAGAGAGAATCAAGCTTTTTTCCCTCGTGGAAAAAATCTGCTGAATGATTAATCACCATCTTGTCTCAGTTTACCCTGAATGGTGAAGCTGGTCTTTGACCAACAGTGGTACAATTATGTTGTTTGTCAATGGCCCTCTGTTGCTCCACCCACAGCTGGGCCTGTTCCTTCTCCATCTTCTCAAATAATTCTTGCACAAGCTCCTGGTAAAACTTCTCCTTTTCTTCCATCAGCTGGTCACTCTGTTTTTTTATTTCCTCCAGTATTTTTGATATACTATGTGCAGCTTCAGCTTTCACATGCTCCACTGTGAAGGAAAACAAGAAAGAAGGTGAAAACTTTACTCTCTTCTTTCTCACTTGCTTCACTGTTACTAATGATGTCATAGTGGTACCAATGTCTGATGTAAGGCAGTAAAATGTAACACTGTTCTTTTAGTTTTGGTTTAGGATCCCAGGTTTACAATGATTTAAACATTTCACAGCTTTCAAGGGTATGTCATCCCTTAAATTGTACCTTACCATCAATCTCCTTTGCCTTTTCTCTCAGAATTTGGTCTATCTGTAGAATTGCATCAGCCAAATCCTCCTTGGGCTGCAAAAATTTCTGGAGAACTTCTTCAACCTTTGAGTACAGAGAACATGAAGTTAAAGCAGGAATGACTACAAGCTTTTGTGCTACCTCTTTACCCATCTTTCTTCTAACAACACCAGTCAAAGAAACAGTCACATAGTCCACACTGACTCAGGAAGAAATGTCTTTTATTGGAGGCCTCTGTTGGAAAACAAATACTGTCTTTTTAGACTGAGGGTTCTAACTTTTGAGTTAATGGTGCTATGGTCACAGATGTGTAAGTTTGCTGAAGACATAATCTTCATGGAGAACAGAGAGATCCGAGTGAATGAGAGAGGAAGAAAGCATGGGGTTGGGAAGGAAAATGGATAGAGAGACATGGGATGGTATTATTTAAAGATAATATGAAGCCCAAACTGATGAATTATAAGTTTTGTTTAAGGGGTCATCACTGAGTCCTTTGCAACACCAAGATTCTAGCTGAAACAGAGAATGACAGTCACACTGATAGCTAAAGTGGTTCACACTGGTGGCTAAGGTGGTCAGTTTGAACTCAATTGTTAAGTGAGCCCATTGTCTCTGATAAGTGTGCAGGACATATCCAGTATGATGACCTTCCTGTATGGTATACATGAGGGTAATGTCCGTAGAGTGCAAGTATTTCAAGTGCAAACAGAAGATGCTCTCCCAGTCTGATGGTAAGTAACTTCCCAGAAGACACATAATTGTGATTACCAGAACCCCCTTCTTGGGTTCCTCATAGTAATTTTTCTTCAACTCCTTTATCCTTCTCATAAAAACACAGTATCCCCCTGGATTAGAATAAGTCCCCTGTTTTATATCTTCATCTAGTGGACTGAAAAGATCCTGAAGCAGAGCCAAGCAGTGAGCTGAGGAAGCCTGTAGATTCTTCTTACAAAATTCCTCTCGCTTTGTCTCCAACACAGTCTTTAGTGAAAAAAGAAAAGAAGCCAGAGTTTAGAATTTTGGGAAGCATTTCTCAAAAGAAAAGCAAGTCCCAAACCCAAAACAAACAAAATAAAACATATAATCACTGACTATAATTGTATCACTTCCTGTGATGTCAGCTTTTTACCAACATCATACTTGCTGCTTGTCAGTGAAATTCAGAGCAGAGTTTTACACCTTTAGATGTAAACTTCTTTTTCAACTTGGGTCCAAAGATGGTCAATGAAATCAACATGGCTCAATATTAATTTGCGTCAGATAGCTAAGGTTACCATTCCTTTGATTTGAATATTAGATCAGGCTGCTACCACTGGGTATATAATTTCATCAGACACACTAATTACTTCTTTGGTACTAATTTAGTGAAAAGGAATATTGTAGGATCGTGAAAGGACAACATGATTTCTGGTCAAGCACTGGCTAGAAATCTTAGGCCATCCGAGGTAATCCTAAGGACAGCATGCGTTTCCCCATGCTCCCAGACTCCAGGCTCCTGACACAAGGCAGAAGTTTTCCTTAGACTGGGGTCTTCCAGTCACATAGGACAACGCCCCTACTAGCCCCTCCACAGGTAGAGGACATGAAAACAGGCCACAGAACCTCAAGACAGATCTTCATATTAATGAGGTACCTAAAGGCCAGAGGGTCATAGCCAATTAAACATTCCTTCCCAGACCCTCCCCTTTACAAAAGGTATTTATCCTCAGGCCAACTCTGAAAATACCAGGATATAGTTTTCATCTATTTTCCACATGACAACAAATGTCTTAAGACCATGGACTATTTTTCTTCTTGGGTATCCACCATGGGGAATAGTGGAGAAGGTTTTCAGCTACTGTGCTGCTGTCCAGTCTTCCACAGAAGAAATCTCTGTGTTTCCAATTGAGCCACCCAAGCCAAGCAAGCAGACATGACCCAGCCAAGTGAGAACTCTCATCCCCCTGGGACACAGCCAGAGCTTCGTCCTCCTCCTCTCCTCTTCAGTGGTGGTCCAATTCAGGTGATAAACCCCCACTTCATTCTTGGCCTTTCCATAGCTTCCCAGTGGCACCTGGGAGCCCAAGGGCCTGAGAACCAGCCGGTTCTCAGCCACCTTTTAAGTCAGGGACCCCCAAGCTAAAAGCTCTGACTCCTCGTGTGAGCTCAAACTGTGCTCCCCACCCCCAAGCGGAGCCCTTTGGCTTTACGTAGCCCCATGCCTGCCCAGTGCCAGTGTGGAGTGAACACAGTCAAATTCCTGAACCCCTGTCCCCACGAGAGGCCCTAGCCATGTGGCAAGACAAACGCGGGACACACATATCAACCCAAAAGGGACCACGCACACTACAACCCAACAGAATATTACTAGCTTATTCATGAAAGCAGAAAATGGTTTAAAGCATTGAGCATATGATAATTCAGTTTCCTATTTATCATGATTGTTAATAGGTAGCTGTTACTATTTTAAAATCCAACAATAGTTGCCACCTCAAACACACATTTCATTTCTTCATAAAATTTTGCCTTTAAAAATCTACATCCAGGCAAACTTGAGAGGAATAATTACCACTAATTCCTTCAGAAACACTTGATTAAAATGTTTGAAGGAATTTTCCGTGAAGATCTTGATGGCCTCTTTCTCACAGGTCCTGTGCAGGTCCAGCAGCTCCTGGAGGGACTCTGTGGGGAGCTTTACACTCTGACCCATCTGCTGGTCATAGTGGGCGATGGCCTTTTGCACTGCAGCTGAATTCTCTGTCTGGGCCAAAGCCAGGACAGCACTCTCCATGCAGGGTATAGACCCACTTCTGATGGCGTCCACATAGGTTGTCACCAAACTCTTTAGTCCTACAACCAGGAAACACATAACAATGTTTGCTACAGATCATGAAGACAAGTCTATTCTGTGAAATTCTAGGTATGTCAGTCATTGATGTCATAAAGCATCAGTGTTCTTAGCATTGTTTGGAAGAATGACAAATGGAAGCATTCCATCTCTCTCATAGTGATGAAATTAGACTTTCCTCTTAGCAAGATCCTCTCATGAGGTGTCTGAAACCCCAAAGGCTAAGAATGCTGGATAGAGATTACACAGGCCCATGTCTATGGAATGTTTGCATCCATTTTAACATAGTCACCATGAGAACAGACTTCACACTTCCATCACAGCTGTCTGTGTCACTAACACTGTCCATAGTAGGCATTTCATTCCCATTTGTGAACAAAACATGATCTCCCAGTCAGAAATTCTCTATCAGGATGATTATAATAACTAGCATTACCCAAGAGAATATTCTGTGCATGCTAACCTGACGATAACTAGACCCATGTAGATTTTTTATACTTACATTTAAATTTTAAGAGACATACTTATTCAGTGACTATCTAATTGGTGAATGCAGTGCTAGCTTGCTAGGGTAATTTGATTTTTTCCCCTTTGGCCGTCTTTTCTCTGTTCCCATTGAGAAAATTTGATAAATAAAATTGATTATAAATGATGGTATCATCTACAGTTTAGCACTACAATAGTGATAGATTAACATTTCTTCAAAGCTGAAGTGGGTCATGGCTGTCTCCTGATACTGTGGCCTATACAGTGAGCAGACAGACTGGGAAAGGACTCACGTGGTCCATTGACCCTGAGGCCTCCTGAAATGGTTTTAACCTTGGAAGACCTGAACACATAGGAACAGAACTCTGCCACTTGTTCCACAAAGTCAGGGTCCAGGTCTTGATCCTGCAGCGATTCCAGCTGGTTAAGCTTCTTCCCGGGTGCCGGGCGCTCAAAGACAAAGCATTTCTGCTTTGGAAAGAACTTACAGATACAGATCCTAGGCAGATTCAACTGTTTTTCTCTTTCTTTTTGTCCAGTACCTAGATGGAGCAGAAAAAAAATTTCAGCTACATGTTAGAAGGCGAAGATATATCCTTTGATTTGATCATATGAGCTTTTTTAATCCTGGAAGGATGAAAGCTGAGTAAGGAGGCTTATAAATTGAGGCTGTACTGGGTCACATTGTGAGTCCCTGAAAACACAAACCAAGAAGATGGAATAGGACAGGAGTTGGGGTGGTATCTGTTTTAATTACATTTAGTCTTAGAAAAGCCTCAATGCTCTGGTAGCTTCTATTGTAAGGATTCGACCCACTTAATGTAGCTGGACTGTGTGCATAAACATGTAAAGCCTCATGTACAGTATCATTTGATTTCTACAGGCTTCTGAAAGTCAAATAGTTGTGTGAACCTCACAATTTCCACACTTGGATAAGGATACTGGTAACACATTATTCTTTTTTTCCCAAAATATATCTTCATTGTGCACAAATTCAAAGCAGGTAGTACAAATTTAAGGGAAAGTGGAAGACAAATTTATTTATAGAACAAAAGGGAAAATGTTTGACTAAATTTGACAAGTCATACATTAAGCACTAATTCTTAGGAGTAACTAGCTGGAAGAAATGGAAACTCTGCGTATTAGAAAATTATAGATAGAAGCCGAATTCTCAGTGTTTTTTGTGGTTGTGCTTTGTTTTAGCTTTAGTTGTTTTTACAATCTCATTTACCAGATGTAAGTCTCTACCTTGAAGAAGCTTCAGGGAATTCTCTAGGTATTCATCTGCCGAGATAGGTAGCCCATTTACTTTGAGCTCAAAAGAGAAGTCTCTCAGAGTCCACACAAAGTCTGGAAAGAAGCCCACAAACTCATCTGAGTCCCCCACCTCATCCTGGTCACAAGGGGATCTTTTTCTGATTCTGTGTGTCAGCTCTGTCACATAGCTGATTAGATAATTAAGGAAGGCCACAGAAAAAGCTACAGCACCACCCAAAGCTCCAGAGTCTCAATTCTGCATTAGTACCAGTTCATTCTGAACCTTAGCTCAAACCTTCCTTAGCCTTGCTTCTAACCTCAAAGTGAACACTGTACCTATGTATATGAGTTATAGTTTATGTGACATTAGCCCAGATCCTGACGCATGAAGGTAGGTCTGAACCTCAGAAAGGATACTGCAGCTGGTCCAGGGCCTGCTGGTTGATGGTTCCTATGCTGTTGTAGACAAAGGTACTACTTAAAAGTATAGCCAGGGAAAAGATCCAACAGTCATTCTGGTTGTCACCCTGGAAATCAACACACATGGATCAGGAGTATTCCTTGTTCTTCTGTCATTTTCCAGATCTGGAGTGGGAAAGTATGCTCACAACATTAGAGGGTATATAAGCCTTAAAAAAAAATGAGACTTTTGTGAGTTATGCAAGGTACAAACCAAACAGCAGAAATAGCCATAAAACTACAGATGCTGTCCAAAGCACTTGCAGGGTAAAAATTCTCTTAGTTTGAGGATTAGTTTGTGTGATTATCACAGGAACTGCTTTACATATTTTAGTGTTTTAATATTGCAGACTACCACTCTCTTATTATACAATCCAGGCTTTTGACAGTTCCCATCCTCATTATAAGCTGAACATGACCACATGTCATATAAGTATGAATGAATAGGAAGCAATGATGAAGTTCAAACTATTATTGACAAACCACAAGCCTTACAACCTGCATTCAATTCCCAGAACCCACATACGGGAAAGAGAACTGATCCCACATATTATCCTGTAACCTCCACATGTGCACTGTAGCTCATGCAACATGATACTTGTGATGAACTCACCCACACATTTACATGTGCACAAGCATGCACACACAGGTGCATGCAAACATATACACACACACACACACACACACACAAACAAACATACAAAATACAATTTAAAAAAATCAAAAAAGTACAGACAACAAAGTAAAATATTCAGAGATTAAAGCTTAATTGCAAAGTGAGCTCCATCCTTACTTTCTCAACATCTCCCAGGCCCTCAGTGTCAAGCAGAACTAGGGTATGGTCTGGCTTCTGGGGATGAGGCATACACCACATCCAGATGCCCTTGGTTTTAGCCTGCACTGTGCAGCCCAAAGAGAAACCTGAAAAGCAGGGAAGAAAGGAGGGATTAGACACTTAGCATCAGAGCTTCAAGAAAGTCATTACAAAATTAACATATTAGAAGTAGAAAGTGGTTAAGTGTGCTTGCTGGTCTTAGAGAAAATTACAGTTCAGTTCTCAGCATCTACAGAGAGGATGACAACTGTAGAACACCAGTTTCAGGAAACCTTATGTTTCTGTCTAGCAGCAGTGAGTGCCAGGCATGCACACAGTACACAGACAGAATATTCACACATGTGAATTTAAAATAAATAACTCTTCCTTGAAAAATCAACGCAAGCAAGTCAGGATTAGTTGAAACCAAAGCTAGCACCGATATAACAGAAATTCATTTTCAGATAGGCAGAATGCAACAGTCACAAGGCCTCCAGACTTGTACCAATGTTCCAAAAGGAATGTGTAGCAGGATCAGTCTTTTAGGTGGACACTGCTGACCTGGCTGTGTGTGAGGCTATGATGAAAAAGCAGATGTAACCATGGAGATCCCAGGTTGTTAGAGATGCCAGGACTGATGGATGCCGCCTGAGGAAAGCTGGAGTCAGTGAGTTCCCCTGACCCCAGAGAGATCCCTTGTGACCTTTAAAGAGCAAACCCTACAGGCAGGATCTACAAGATGATGCTTTATAGATAGATGATCACGGCATGCCCTGAATGCTGTACATGGAGCTATAGCATCTGGGGTTTGCCCTGCTGGGGTTCAGTCTTGTTATGGAGCGTTCTTCCCTTCCCATCCTCCTGAACACTGAAAATGGGAATGTTTATTATGTGACATTGTATATCACAAGTTGTCTTGAGTCTGAGATGATACTTTAGACTTTTATGTAATATTAGATCTATAAGACTATGGAGACTTTTGAAGATAGAGTCACTGCATTTAGGATCCAGGAGCAGAATGCTATATATTGCATATAAAATATTCATCACCGGACAATGTATTTGAACATTGGTCCTCAGTTAGTGCCACTGTTTTGGGAGAGATGGATGGATTTGGAGGTAGAATTTTCCTGGCAGAGGAAAGGCCTTGGAATATTAATGCTGGACTTGCTTATGGACCTGTGATCTCTGCTTCCAAGTCAGCCATGACTCAAACAAGCCACAAGCACCTATCACTACACATAGAGCCCCAAAGCCATATCTCCCCTGCCATAAGTGGACTGACAATACCTGAACTTTGAGCAGAATACACCCTTCTTCCTTACATTGCTTCTGTTAGGCATTTGATCAGTGATTTGATCAGAGACTAACACAACATAGAAACCTGAAAGGCTGGGCTCAGTCACGTGTCTCTATATCCATCTTCACATCAGCATCATTCAGAGTACTCTACTGTCCCATCCACAGGTAAATGGATAAGACAATGTTAGGCATACCTGATCACTGTCCTTGAAAAGGGAAGACTGTTTTGCTGTCTCATTCTCACAGTGATACCTCGAAGTTATCATGCTAAGTGAGAGAACAAGTAATGAAAAGCCTATATTTTGTGTGAGTCCATGTATGTGACACTGCTAGGACAGTCAGAGTCATTCATATAGCATACAGAATAGAGGGACGGGGTGGGCAATGGGTTAGTTGTAGAGATGGATCAGGAGATACATAGTTGTACTATTTTATTTAATGCCACAGATCTGGACACATAAAATCAATTAAAAAGAAGAATCTTATATCATTTACAGTAATAAAAAAGTTGACACATATACTAAGGATCTATTTTTTTAAAATTAAAAACCTATTGTTAGTACATGAACATTTTATCAATGCCTTTAAGCTAATTACCATGTAAATTAAATTCAGTTAATTTCTTCCATTCTGCATCAAGGAAAGCAACCCTTTCTGGTTTTAGAAGGGAAACTTAGAGACAGATATGATGGTGCAGACATGTAAGAAGCACTCAGGAGGCTGAGACAAGAGGATCATGGGTTTGGGTCCAGCCTGACTACACACTGAGCTAGATACCTGCATGGGCTACACAGCATGACCTTGCCTCAAAAATGAAAGCAAACAGAAAAAGCAGCAATGAGAACAACACAAAGGACCCCAAGGGACAGCAGTGACTAGAAGATTAAATTCTTCACATTCTCATTCAGAAAGCAGACAGTGTGAGTGCACACAGGGCACAGCACAGCCTTGTTGGTGACACTCACCTGATCTCTTCCCAGCCAGCCTGTTCATCAGGTAGGATTTGCCTGTGCAGTAGAGCCCCACAATGGCCACCACCACCACTGGCTGCTGGATATCAGACAGGATGCTCAGAGCTTCCTGGTTGGCTGTCAGTTGTCCTTTCACATTCTCAATGAGGCAGATAGGGCCTGACATGTGAACCTCTTCGGCCATGACAATTCCTGTGTACGGACAAACAAGACTAGCTAGATTCAATTATTTTCACTCAGAGTTTAGAATTGTGAAATTCTCAAAAAACAAAACAGTGCTGTGTGTTTCAGTGACATTCTGAAGATGAATACATATAATTTAATTTAAAATTTTTTATATTGTAATTGTGTCAACATCTTATTACTCTCACAAAAATATTCCAATTAATTTAATCAACTGAAAAACTCCTTATGATTTTACATGAAATGTCAAGTAGAATATATAGATAGACTTAGAAAAATGATGATATTGCAGTGATATGTAATTAATTTCCCTGAACTATAATTAGCTGCCTTCATAATCATTTCTTCTATCAAAAGGCCTGAACCAAACTTTCACATGTTACCATAATCATACCACCCCATGATGTCACCCATGTATTTTGAAAGTATCTTGATACATGACTTTTTTCTGTTTCTACAGAAACTTCAAGAAACCTGTCAAGTTGGGACATGGCACTTGGGGTAAGCTGAGTTTGTGTTCCTCCCCATCGGTCACTCATACTGAGCTCTACAGCAGACCTTAGCTCTTATCCCCTGTTTGTTTTCACATCAACACAATGATTTCTTGCTTTGTCCTTCACAGACATGGGGCTGTTCATCCTGCATCTCATTTTGTTTCCCCTCATGAGTACCAGCCATGGGCAGTCCTCTCAGGAGGAGTAGGACTGAGTCAGTTTAGCTCCATCATTTAACTGTGTTCATCAGCAGAAACAGTGTGATTACAGAGAAAGACAGTCCCAGTACATTTCTCACCCCTGATTAAGACATACATCTGCTGTTCACGAAATCAAAGCAAGTCCAACAGTGACTGTTGGAGACTGGCTGTCAGGGGTGTAATACCACCCAGGGTTTCATCAGCAGCTGTGTTCCAGCTTGTGCTCAGGAGCTGTCTTTTCTAGTCACAGCAGTTCTAAAGAAAATGAATTAACCTTTGTGATGATTTGTATAGGTGTGGCCCACGGAGTGGTACTATTAGAAGATGCAGCCATGTTGGAGTAGGTGTGTCACTGTGGGTGTGGATTTTAATACTCTCTTCCTAGCTGCGTCTTTGTTGCGTGTTGTTCTGATGCTTTGATCAGATATCTGGGTGTGAATGCTGAAGGTCCTGTTCCCCAGTTGGTTGTTGATTGATCACTAAAGATGGTAGCAGCCAATGGCTGGGCAGAAGACGCAAGGCTTTCAGGTTTCCCCCGCCCCCCCCCCAAAAAAAAAGCAGGTTAGGACATGCAAGAGGGAAGGAGATTCACCATGTTTCAGAGGGAGAGCCACCAGCCCTGTGAGACCTTGGATACAGTACCCTTTGGCTGCTTCCCCAACTGGGTCTGGGGTAGCAGTTGAGAGATTAGAAACACAGCTAAGCTGAGGGCAGATTTAGTGTGGTGAGCAAGGATAAGGTAACTGAGCATGTAATCTGAGGGCAGAGTTAGAGGTGTTGAGCTGGGAGTTAAAATAAGGACACATTAGCCACAGGAAGCTTAGAAGTGCCTGACCTTTGGGCTAAAATTGTATTAAAAATAAACTAATATATATGTGTCTTTCATCCGCAGATCCAAGGGAACCTAGGTGGGGGCAGGTAGCATAGTTCACCCAGAGTTTAAGGCAGGGTAGTAGAACCCTGATTAACATTCCATTATATGAAAAGCTCCTATCTTAAGAATGTTGATGTTGTTAACTCATGTTGTTATCTCTTTTGTAAACGTAAGAGCTACAGGAAACCCACTCAGATCTACTTCTCATGGACCAAATAGACTTCATTCCGGTAAGTACATTGGCCTAAAGTTCCCACTTACTACCTATTCCAGAGGATAGGATTCCTCTAAGTTTCAAATGTACATCTAAGAAAAATTTTTTTCTTTCTCCCAAACGCATTTAATCTTATTCTCTACCTTTTGTGTGTGTGTGTGTGTGTGTGTGTGTGTGTGTGTGTGTGTGTGTGTGTTTTAGCATCTTGTCAAGTCCATGCTCTTACTACATCTAGGACAGCTCCAGAGAAGCAACCTACAGATGCTCAAACCTTCTCTCACAGACACAGACACTTCTGCTGGACTTGGTCCTTCTTATCTATCCACAGACAGTTCCATAGACCTGGACAACAAGGAAACAGCCAACTCTGGACAAAGATCCCCATACCTATTCCTCTAGGTTTCCTAGAGACACATCACCCTCAAAGCCAAAAAGAAGTAGTCAGATATCAAAAAGACCCTATTCCTGCTCTACCATTGCCTCATTCTAATTTTTTCTGTTTTAACTAACCAAAACAGGGGAATGTCAGCATTCTGTCTAAGCTCCACCCCAGAGTTACCTGGCAATAGCCAGGTATGTGCTGCCCCACAGTTACCTGGCTGCTTGCCCCTTCCTTGCTCCCTTGTTCTCTTGCTTTATCTTGCTCTTGCTTTCCCTTCCCCCTCTCTCTCCAATCCCTTTCCCATCTCTGTTTCCATGTGCTCATGGCCGGCCTCTCTACTTCTTTACTTCTCTTCTCTTCTCTTCTCTTCTCTTCTCTTCTCTTCTCTTCTCTTCTCTTCTCCTCTCCTCTCCTCTCCTCTCCTCTCCTCTCCTCTCCTCTCCTCTCCTCTCTCTCTCTCTCTCTCTCTCTCTCTCTCTCTCTCTCTCTCTCTC